CACCGCCCCGGGCTCCCCTGGCCTCCTGCCCGGTCAGCTGCCCGGCTGGTCCCTGCCGGAGGGGACAGCGGGAGGGACAGCCGGGGTGACTCAGCGCTTTGCCCGGGCTGTCCCGCCGGGGCGGGGACACGGAGCAGTGCGGCCTGTCCGGCTGAGCATCACCAGCCTGTGCCTGCCCCAGCCCTGCTCAAGCAGAGGGGAGCCGGGAGCAGCGAGTCCCCTGGAGCATCAGGGTGCCCAAGTGCCCGGAACACCGAGGCTCAGGAAACGGGCACACACCGGGAGCCTGGATGTGGACTTTTCCTCTGCATGGCTTAGGATTGTGGGCTGACCCGAGGCTGCTCACCTGCACCGATGAACCTGTCCTGGGCACAGAGATCATGTTGTTGTTCTTGCTGTCTGGACTGGAGAAGGAGGGAGCCTGGTCCTTCTGCAGGCCCAGAGCTCTGTGGACATCCCACCACCCCTGCACTGCAGATGGATATCTTTCTGACCTCCTCTACGTCCCTAGCTGGGAAGCCTGGCAAACGTTACTAGTGCCACTTTACTGGCCAGGCTGGGGAGACCCAGGCATTGAAACAGGCCATTCCCAGCACTCCTGTGGAACCAGCTTCAAGACATCCATCCCAAGCAATGAGCAGTGGGCCTGGTGAAGTGCCAAGGGCATCTCCTGTGCCAAGAACCATCTCCTCTCCAAAGGATGGGAGACCCATCCCCTGCCATCAGACAGCAGTTGATTTCCTTGAGCGACTGCTTGGAGTATTCCATGTTGTTGGGTTTGGTTTTCTTCCATCCCAGAGCTGCTCTTCTGTACCCAGAAGCAGGCTGCTGGTTCCTCCGGGGGGCTGCCAGGAGCTCTGATTCGGCCCCTCTGCGGAGCAATGGGTACAGGGCTGGCCTGGGCCGGGCTGGCATGGGCACTAGATGGAGCCACAAGACTTCTTCGCAGGGCCCCAATACTGCTGACTGGGAAGGAGATGCCTCCAGGGCCTCGCCGTGTCTCAGCACCTCGCTCTCCTTTCCCTGCCTTTTGCAGCTGATATGGAGACAAGTAGATTCCAGAGCTGTCAAGTCTCAGCCTGCTCTGTGCCCACCACATGGGCAGAAGAGGAAACCATAGGCCATCAGGGACTCGAGCCAGGGAAGCACACTGCTGCTGCCTTCTTGATACCTGTGTCCCACACCCTTGAGATCGGGATATGCAGTGAAAAGGACTTACACTTCCCTAACGTTCTTAGGGGAGCCCATGTGGAGTTGGGCAGTAGCACTGGTAGGACACCTTGCCCCAGAGCTGCCACAATCACTCCTCTGGTAAAACCAGCAAAGCAGCAGAGAGGCAGCCCATCCCCAGCTTCAAAACCAACACAGGCACCTCCAGGGTGCCTCAAGAAGGCCCTCACTTCTTTACTAATTGTGGGGACTGCTGCGTTGCAACCCGCTTTTAGCTTTGCAAGGTCACAAAAAGGCTCATTCATTTTTCTTCAGGCTTTCTGAGAAAAGAGCTTTTTCGTGAGCTAAGCAAGGCCCCAAAGGATCATTTTTATTATTTTTTTAATCCTGGTTACCCCATCTCTTAGGAAGCCAACTCAGTTGTATTATAAACTCGTGCTATATTATTATGCAGCCCACACATTAAGAGAGGTATTTTTCTCAGTTCTGCACAGCATTTCAGTTTTTCGTTTCCTCAGGAGAACACAAACCCTTTCTCAGCCTCCTCAAACAGCAGGTTCTCCACTTTGTTCTCATCCCGAGCCTTCTAGGAGCTGGGGAGTATCTAGGAGGAAAGTCAGCTCTTTCAGCAGAAGCTGGTGTAGCAGGACAGGGAAGTGAGGAACAGCAAACTCAGGGTGATTTCTTCAAGCAGGGCAATGACTTTGGGTGTGATCCAGCCGTGTGCTGTGCACAGGCTTTGCATCCCAGGCACCGCCCCGCCAGAGTGTTCCCCTGTAGTGACCCAGGGCTGCTGCTTCATCAAAACCCAGGCAGAACCAAGGTGCTTGCAGATTTTAAATCAACAGAGGCAGAAGGAGGAGGCAGAAGCCCATGCCTAGATGGGTTATCTACGATGAGCTCACACACAGGCCCAGGCAGAAGAAGCAGAGCTTCATGGCAATAAGGGGTTTCACCCCCATTCCTGGCATGGAGTTGGGAGCAGGGTGGGCTGCAGAGCCTGGATAAACTGTTAATGGACCTGAGGGTCTTACTGAGCCCCTAATGGTAATTTTTAAGAGCTAGGAAAGCTGGGGTAATTCCATAGGACTGAAGGACAGAAGTCATTTCAATCATTAAGAAAATAAAGTGGTTGACCCAGAAAAGTTTAGATTACAGATAATAACAGAAAAAAAAGAAGGAAAAAAAAACCAAAACAAAAACAAGGAACAGATTAATTGGGAAAAAAAAGAATAAGAAAAAAATAACATATTAATTATTTTTTATACTGTCAAAAAGAATTAAAGACTTTAAAATGTATGTAATACTGATCAGCCTCATCTCAGGGAAGGCAGGTATTGCTGTGCAAACTTGTCACTTCCAACCTTAGTGATTCTATGATTCTATGATTTACCTTGACACGCCAAGGAAGTCTGTTTATTTTCTTGCATTGCTAAACACACACAAAATGCATCAATAGTAAATGTGTGGTTGTTAGCCAGAAGCTATAGTGCTGGCAGCCTTTGTAGTGGAGACCCCCAGGAATAGCTGTAAAGCCCACTGTGTTAAGAAATGTTTACTAAAGCAAATTAGGAATAATAGTAAGATTGGTGGGTTAATAGGGACAATTAACTAGTAGGGATGTTTTAGAATTGCTTAATTAGAAGGTCCCACTGCTGCAAAATTTGCTTTAATACAGTGAAATGTGAAGTAAGTAATTTGGGAATTTGGAGGAAGGGGCGGTCTTGTCACTTCTTGCTCTGCATATCCACTTGTCACACCCAAACCTTATCAGGTAATTCAGGATTCGTTTCAAGACCACTGATTAAGGTGCTGAAGTGCCTGGCAGGGATCCCTGCAGAAGCCTGGCAGCTCTTTGCTGAGGATTCATCCTCTCCAACCAGCACTTGGTTGCCTCAGGTTGCCTCATCAGACACAGCACTGACACTGCTGCTGGCTCCCAGGGGCACCCTCCACACCACAAGCAGGTTACACCTCTGCCCTTCACACCTCTGCCTTTCCCAGAGAAGAGCTGTCATCTCAAGGAATGAAACCAGGCTTGTTTGGTGAGGTGGATTATCCACGGCTAATCAACACCTGGTAACAATGCTGAAGGTCTCCCAACACACACACAGGAGCCCTTGGTACCAAGCTCTTGCCAGGCTCCACATCTCTCAGCCTGGGAGATAGTAAAGCCCCCCTGGCTGTGGGGGGCTATTAAATGGTAGTGTGAGAATCACACTATCCCGGGGAAAGCCCCAGTGTGCATGGGGTGCCTGGGGGTGGCTCCTGCCATCCTGAAGGGCCACATTAGGCACAGCAAACCAGAGTCCTGAGTCCCATGGAACAGCTGTAGTTTCCATGCACCTCATCATCTGAGTAAACTCTGCCATGGACCTCTCAGGGATGTGTTCTCAGTGTGGCCATCAAACACAAGGTCCCAGC